GTGTGTGTGTGTGTGTGTGTGTGTGTGTGTGTGTGTGTGTGTGTTTTACCCCTATCCTCACCGGGCCCCTGAACATTAGAACGCTCGCTCTATTCCTGATGTGCGCTCAGATCTGCTCGATCAATCCTCAATATGTCGGGCCCGGCTATGGGTTTTTAAAAGGATCTTTGATCTGAAACTTTACATCATCCTCCGAKGCTCATCGTTTCTTCTATCAGTAAGACTCGTGTTGGGGAAAAACTCCTTTCTGCTGGACTGTCATCAGACAGGAGGGTTTAAGCTGGGGAGGGGAAAAAATTTAATTCCGAGTAATACCTTATAATGCCTACCTATTCTATAATCCTGCAGATCTATACAAGAGTGTCAAAGCTTATAGTAATGGTGAAGGATTAATTTGGGGATTTCTGTTTGATGACACTCTGGAAGTGGACGACAGAGTCAGAAGAGACTGACCGGACCGGCCGCAGGGACAGTTAAGAGCTAAGATGTGAAGTCCTGCAGGAGCTGAGGCTGAGAGGCCACGCTACATCTCCCCCTTTTTTAATGTCGTTGAATGTGAGAAGCTTATTGCGAAAATACGAGGAAGAAAGAGAGAGTTGTAAAGACACAGGGATTTAAGATCCTCCCAAGAACCACAAGGGTACTATCAGGCTRCAAACCTCCACTGAAGTCCCCACCACCACCGCCAACCAAGCCTCCTCTCCGTCTTCCTTATCCCCTCCCTCCCTCGCTATCCCACCACCACAACAGCCTTTGAAAAAGTGTGGTATTTCACATGCAGAGGTGTTTAGAATAATAGCAGGAATCAGCTCCTTTCATGTAGTCTCTTTTCAGTGCAGACGAGCGCGCCGGCGGTGTTCTCCGCCGTTTGATTCCGGGGCCTTGAAGATGCAAAGGCAGAGGGATGTGAGGGCTGCTTATCTCCCTCCTGACGCAGCCAATCATGTCGTTGAATGACAGTCCGAACCCAGCTGATACCCCCCACCCTCTGCACCTTTCTTCTTCCTCAACTCTTTTGAAATAACATTCGTTCTTCCACCATTTTTTTTTTAATTTTGTTTTTGTGTTCAAGCTTTTCCTTATTCCTGTTTGCGCTGTCTTCTCCCGTGGACCCTCTCCCCACTTTCCACATGCGAGCACCCCCCACCACCAGCATCAGCTGCATACGTGCAACTGGTGGTCTCGTTGATAAACACAGGGGCACATCTCCCACACTCAGTCAGGGGTTCCAAACACTGAACAAAAAGCAGAGACAGAACTAACTTTATTGCACCCCGGCGCGTGGTGACAAAACAACTATTTGTGTGAGCACAACAGTCCACCGCTTTCTCTCCTCTTTCTCTCATCACTCGCCTGCTGCTGACTGCAGATGCAGCCGGTAATGCAGGGGAAAAAAGAAAAGAAAAAAAAGAAAAGAAAAAAAAAGGAAAGCCAGTAGATACGATTTACTGGAATCAACAGGAGTTTGTCACATTTTTAGCTGACGCCAATGAAACAAGAGAACTGTTTGCACCAATTAGGCTGCAGCAAAGTGTTCACCTTGTRTTTAGACAGATAAACAAAATCACACTTTAAGATTTCTAAGATGCATCTACAGATGAAGATGTTGTTTCCATAGTAATGAATTGGTGGAGCTTAGAATTTTTTTTTGAACAAGATAAAGCAGCAAGAGTTGGAAAATGTCTAACGTAGAATTGATCAACTTTTCTTTGTCGAATTTAAATTGATTCTTTTCAGATTTCTTAGTTATGTAAAAATGAGGTTTTTGATTCTTCTGATTAATAAGAAAACACATTGTGCAGAACAATACCTTCAGAATGAACTAATGGATGAGTCAGTCCCATGTGATTTGTGCTCTCTCTCTCTCTCTCTCTCTCTCTCTCTCTCTCTCTCTCTGTTTCTCTTTGCTTCCTTTCTTGCAGAACCTGAGCAGTTTCAGCAGCTTGTGAAATCCCCACCCTTCCTTCCAGCTCTCTCCTGCTGCACGGCGTTGAGCGCAGGACAAGGGGGATGGGGAGGCGCGATGCAGGAGGCAGGAGAGAAGGTGGAAGGGGAGTGACCGCTTGCTCCCGTCTCGACCACGGGTATTCTTGGGTTGATAATACAGATGTCGATGTTATTGCTTGAGAATACGCGTAGCTGAGCGGAAGCCATCGTCCTCGGCTCTTCATGGTAATCCTCTMCAAACGATCCCAATGTGGTCCCCTCGTGCCCCCCTCCCACCCCACCCTAAACACTCGTATACCTCCACCCAGCATCCTCTAGGCCTCTGCAGGAAGTGAGCTCCTTCCAAGCGTGCATCGCACACCTTTTTAGCTCTGATTCTTCATCCGCTTGACAGATGCCCTTATCAGAGTGCGGGTGGGGGG